GCGATGTAAAAGAAATCATTATCTTAGAAGACATGGATAGAGTATTGTAGGAACACATGAGTTTGCTTTTGGATATTAGTTAAAAAAGAAATTTATTTAAAGGGTCAAGTCATAAGTTTAAGTCTATTAATGAATTTTGGACTAGAATTTTCACAACTGTTCAAGGGCAAGGCTTTTATTTCTCATTTCCGATCCTCGTCTCGTATGGGCTGTTGGTTTATCAATATCGAAATTTATAGGGATAACCATGAAATCTGAAATTATAAACTATTTTTGATAGTAGGTTAGTATCTAATAGGAAAAGTGAATGTTAGAATATTTAATTTGTATGCTTTTTCTCTACGTTATTGGGACTGTTGCCATTGAAGACATTAAAAAAATTAGTAATTTGTTTTTAAATTGATGTGCTTGAAATTACAAGCAAAAGAAAATTTTATGTGTGTAGAAAATTCATAATCTTTTTCTGACATTTTGTTACGAACGTCTGTTTGCGTAATTTTCAAGTGACGTATTATGGATGTTTCGTTTTCCTTACTGAACGGTAATTCATTGCATTGTATTTGCATGCATTCTTGTTGATGCGAATTTTCAACAATGTTGTTTCGTAATAAAGTTGAAGTTGTTTTAATTTTTTTGTCAGCTTAGGGTAGGTTGATGTGCTGTTATCTACATATTGTTCCATGTATGTGTATTCCAGGTTATGACTTGACACTTAGAAGTTTATTTCCGTCATAACTACGTCACCGTTGACGCCAGTTTATTGGAAATTTCTCAGAACACGCTTTTAATATCCTGTCATTTGTATTGTTAGTAACAATATTTTGATAATATCTCAGTTTTATAGGAAAAATGCCTGTGACACACATAGCAAAGGTAAATAATAAGAGATGCACTCAATGTTTTAGATAAGATAGCAAATGGATCAGTAGAAGACAAAAAAAAACGAAAATAATTATCGACACATCCAACAGACAATTTTTCAGATCCCAGAACAAACCTGACTGAGGTTATCAGAAATTGGCAAATTCATACTATAGAAAAATCCATTATTACATGGTTCTATACTGCATAGTAACAACAGTTTGTACTTGTGAATTCGACAAACAAACCAATCAACGCATGATAATAATCGATTAGTTAGTCGTGTGCTAACAATCGATTTGTGATTAAGTCACACTGTTATTTAATTGCTGCATACAAATTAGGAATGAAGTGATAGTCGTTTTGATGATGGCGGTTCATAAGCCAAACTGATGATGGTTAGAGACTTCTTTTATACTTTCTCGATATGACGTCACTTCGTAACATTGTATGTATACATATATGGATGCCGTATCCGTATACTAATGGACTATATAGTCCATAAGTCCAAAAAATGCCAAACTTTTAACTAGTCGGCAGTATTAAACAGATTTTATTATTCTTAAGTTTTTTGTTTCATGTTGAGTGGTTGTCTCTCCCGTCTGTGGGTACGTTAAGTAAATTATGAATAGGGATTGCGATTTTTTGCTATTGAAAAAAATCTTTAGTTTTGCCCAACGTCTGACGTAGGTATAAAAATATGGCTAGTATTCTACCACAATAGTGTTTTGTTTTATTTCATATGTATTGTCTGTAAGTGCCACCAATATCTACAGCATCATACAAAAGATCACATGCAATATTAGTACCAGCACTAACATCAACACATAAATAGGTGGCACATATTTTTTCCATCATTTAAATAATAACTTAGTACTCACAATAGGACTTATAACACTATAATGTGACTAATGACAATATCAATTGGTAAACAGCGTTCCAATTAACTAATTGTTAGCTCGAGTAAATATTTACTTGTTAATTATATTCCCACTGTTCACCAAGCTTCCATTACTTATATACCTAAGTAACAGTAAATAATGTTCCCATAAGATATTGTAAGATAATAATGTTTACATTTTTAGTCTAACAACCCTAATCTTGACGGTTGAAATTCAAATGAGAATAGTTAAGTCGAATATTAATAATAATTATATAAATTCAGGTTTACTTTGTATTATGAATACGATTATTGACTTTTTCCTTAGTTTCCCTACACTTATTATATTCTTCGCTCTTAGTCCGTGATCGTGTACTGCTATTGGACTATCTCGCTACCCAGTCTCTGTCATATGTCTTGACAGTTAGCCCTATTACCCTTTACACACCCTCGGTAAGCGGGCAGGTAGATACAAATCTATTCTGCTCTATTGTCATGTCACCACACTGTTCCTTGTTAGCACTAACATTTTAATCCTTGCAATCAAATTCCCATTTCATAGTAAAATAAAAATAGATAAAAAAGACATTTATTTCAGGAAATTTTAAATCTGTCATCGTCTTCGTATAAACAATACAGCTTATTTTATAAAGCGGTGTTAAAACTATGTTCTCAGAATTACGGACAAAGGATAGAGTTCATTTATAAGCTAATGCACATTTCCGTTCCGATGATATTCGAAAGAAACTAAAATAAATAAATATACATAATCTAATAATAACTTAGAGCTTCATGAAGCGAATGAGAATACGTAAAATTGTCTTTCAGAACTACATCCACAATTACTGGCTTTTTTTAAGTAATAGAAATGGACACTGTCATAGACTTAAAAAATAAGGACAATAACAAGGATGAAAAACGTACAATCGATTAATCGGAACAAAATATGTAGATGGAAATATTTTATGAAATGTGATTCCAAACAGTGCTAATGCTGACATGCCTGTTTGATAATTATAAAAAAACCCTGAACCAGATGATTACGGGATTTTTCATTATTTATTTTCTCAATATTGTACATGGTATAACACAGGTGGCCCCTAAAGAAGGAGTGGGTATGCTTAAATGATCTAACCTAGAGAATAAAGTAGGCAGTCCTAAATAAATAAATTAGGGTTATCAAGAGCAACTGATAAGTCAAACTAAAAATAGTTGACAATATTGTCACTAAACGGTCTAATTGTTAACAAGCCCTTCAAGATAATGGACCTGCAAATGCCAAAAGATAAAAACATGTCTCGGAGAAGAACAAAAAAGACGACAAAAATAGAAGGAACATTCTATTTCAGTATTAATCTTTACGCAAAACATTACATCAAGACAAGGAAATTTTAAAAGTATAATTAACCGAAAATATTCAATATCTTAGTTAAAATATGGCCAAGAAAACGTTTGTTCTTTATGAATATGCAGTAGATGTTAATCTGAGGGGAAGAAAAATATTGAGATCGCTTTTGTTTAATATCACTCGGTTAATTAAAATGTCGTAACAGATTAGCTTGATCGCCATGTTGTTTCTGTAGAAAATCAAAACGTTTTGAATATGCAAATGTGATAGGATGTCGCTAAGAAATTTTGGGATATTAAAGGTAATTTGTACAATCAAAAGGGTGTCTTTGTTTTTGTTTATGTTATAGATAAAATCGGGGTTAAAATTGAGTCAGGAAGATTTATTTGCTAACTCATTAATGAAGTCAGATTCACTGCTACTTCTGTATTATTCGTTACGTATTTCAGATAAAACTACTTAATAAAGGTTGCACAGAGCTTCTGGAACCTTGCCCCCAATCCAAAGAATTGCCTTCTAGCGATCTAGACCAACCGATGTTGGTTGGGGGCCTCGCTTCCAAGTTCTAACCAACCGATTAAGAAGTCATTGGGATGGCCCGTGTTTAGCAGTGGTCGTCTTGTATTGGTATGGCGATGATGATGAAGTGCGACAGCATAAAGTAACTTTTTCTATAAAATCAATTTATTCTAAGAAGATTACGATATTGAAATTTTGTAAGTACTCGTCTGTAAGTAACAAAATAGAATTAACTTGAACGACATCATAATAATATCCAAAAATATTCCCAGTACCTAAGCAGGTAAGTAAATCAATTCTGAATTTACAAATTGGGTGAGTTATTATTATTATTGAATTTCCTTTGTGCTTGTTACTCAAAATAGGTAGCTTTTAGTCACGCGACATGGTTAATGTATTATTTTTCATGCTCGGATTATTTTGTTATTTTTATTATAGCAATTTGAGCGAAATAATTGGGCCCTTTATAAGATTTTGAGATTATTACATAATGTATAATATACGATAATAGCAGTTTTATGTTAATTAAGCTTATGCTATTGTATCATTAGGAATTGGGTAAATGCTGATAGAAAAAATATTGCCATGCGATAAATGCTAAATATTGTGGATTAATGTACTTTTTTCATAACTTTTTTTAAATCTTCTAGCTAAACTTGATTTATTTTTAGTGCCGACACCAAAACTAGGTAAAACAAGACGTGAGTAAGAGTGTGTAAACCAAAAGCCAATCGCTATGCCCCCTTTTATTTACCCCTATACGTATAGGGATGCTAAAGGCTCATAATTTCAATAAAAAATATTTTCTATTGCAATAAAAAAGCGGTTATGTCGACAAGTGCGAAGCCTATCGTTGGCGTCACGATTCGTGGTTTTTCTCCGATATGGTCTGCTTGACACCCCTGCAAGGCATCCGGTTGCCCGCCTTCTCTTTATCGCTTCATAGTCTTGCTTCCGTCGATTATTTCTACAATGTACGAAGCTAACGAACTCAGTGCCCACTGACCCTTAAAAAAGTTAATGGTTTACGCTTTTTAGCGTTGCAATGAACTTGAAATTATTAGAAAAAATAGAGCAAAGAGATTCTTAAACATGGCGCTAATGCCTGACTTCAGAAATGATGTCAATCTTACTAACTGAAGTACATAATTTGCCTACTTGTTTTTATTTTTCCCTGAATTTAGCGGTCTATAGGTAAGTTGGTATAGGTTCCAGGATTTTTTTTAATTTGCCTTTAATGGAAAAATTATAGGCAAACCTAACTTCTTACCGATGTAAACAATGACGAAACGTTACCATAATTAGAACTTTACTTCGCTTATAAAGTTATTATTTGCAACTACTCAAATTGATGAGCATAATACACTAGACTAGACTACTTAACTTACTCACCTGAGAAAAATATGGCGGCAGTACTGCCCTCTGGTCGTCTAACCGAGAACACTGTACTCGTTCAAGCAACTCGAACAACTCGTGTTGAGCACGAGCGCCCCCTGTCGAAGTTGCTGTGGAGCTCCATGGCGCCGACACGTGCTGCCGCCTGTCAGACAGAAAAAGAACTATTACAATAATCGTTCCTTAGTTAGTTCAGGAAAATATAATAGATGGCGCTGTTACACACTATAGAATTGTTTACGGTTAAATAATGTAGGTGGCGCTGTACAAAATTTGGACTGTAGGACCAATATTATCGTTTATTAAACTTAAACATGACTTATAGGAACGATCTATGTTCTTTTAATTTGGTGGGACTTATTTCTTTATTTATTTTATTACGTGAGTAAGTGAAATTTTAGATTGCATCAGTTTTTCCCTGACTTCATCTGATACAGGTTAATGTTTTTTATTACATACAGGCTCTACTTTTGTTTTCACTAATAACAATATGCGTACAAATCATCTTACTAACGTCAGGACAAGAACAAAGTAAACAAAACTGAAAAGTTAATTATTAAGATTTACGTATGTTCAGGTCATGCCAATGCTCCTTTAGAATAAGATTTAACAAGCGGATAATGGCAGTTAAGTACTTTATTTTTAAACTCTCTTATGCCAATAATGATCATTTAGGTTGATACGTCAAGAAGCTCTTCAAACTAATTGCTACAATTATATCGTAAAGTGTTAAGGAAAAAATGAATAAAACTCAATTGTACGAATCTGGTATTTAAGTACTTCAGGTTTTGCATACTTATTACGAGAGCGACAGAAATAACCAGGAGATAATAACTGAAGCCATACAATGGAACATTTAGGTCCCTTTTTAAAAGAATTTATGCTGATTTCATATAAATCAGCATCAATCACTGCCAGTCTTTTTAATTTTTATGCGACTTTCTTATATGTTTGAGTGCATTAAAGCCTATACGCTATAATAGACTGCTCGACAATAGACCTCGTTACTGCGGCCATCCAACTCAGGATTAAGTTATGCAAAGATTTTTCCTTTTTCTTTTCACAGAATAAACTTTGCTTGAAGCGTGACGGGAAGGTATCATAAATCGCTACACTGGAAACGACGTTCAAATACTTTTGCTTTTTCGAATAAGAAATAGGACAAAATTTGATTACGCTGCGGTTTTGTTTATGTTCCTTTGTGTTTTGTTTTTCGGTAACAAGACTTTACTAAATCTCATTGCATTACATTATGCTTTGTTAAAACAATTTCAACGTTTCATTATTGATACGTTACTGTTACTAGACGGGTGAGTACAATGGTAATTATAAATCATGCTTAGATCCTCCTCTGTTATTAAAATTGTATAGTACTCTGATTGCAGTCATTTAACGGCACGAGACCGAGAGGAATCATATTCAGAGTATTCAATAGCGTATAATATACGATGACAGCAAAACTTAAAAATTCGAGAGAACCGGTTATGCACAATTTACTGCTATCAAAATAATATAAACAAAAGTGCACGCGACAATGACCCCATCTGTTGTCCGCCAGCGGAACTGTGTAAGTAATAATGGATCGAGTCTGTGATTTATGCGTCAATTAACTGACCATTCTCTGCGCCCTTCGCGCGGCCCTCGCTAGCGTTATGACCAAGATAATGGTTTTCCAAATTAAATCTCCCCCTACATTAAATCGTCGGTATAACCGGTATTCAGCGACTCAATCAAGGAATGTTTGTTTTTCGACTTAGCCTAATTTCGCTGTGTTGAAGGGTGGCATTGTTGTTCGCGCATGTAATAAATTTGATTGGCAGATGTTTCTGGCTGATAATGTAATGTTTGTTGTTTTTCAATTTGCTGTCATAAGTATTTTGTTCAGTTTCATAAGTAACTCCTAAAAAAGGGTGAGATGAAAGCACTACTTTTATAATTTGCATCCACATTAGCAAAAAAATCACTTTGCAGAATTTTAACAACAAATATACACAATTTGCTATACAAATTGAAAAGAGGATTGATTAAAGTAGGGTACTAACCGGTTCTAACAAGAATTACCTACTGACTTTGATTTAACATTGGACCTAAGTGGAGTCCTTGCGATAACCCCCATAGGATATTGGTATATTTTTGTCTGTATGATTCATCCCACGGAAACACGTGTTCCCATACAATTGTATTCAGTCAGGGATACATATTTTATGCGAGCCCGTTGCAGGCGCGTCGCTTCGTATAATAAATACAATATGTATGTTGATCTTTGGGGCGAGACCGTAGGTACACCACTATAAATATACATGCGACAGTATTGCCTGCTTTTATAATAATTCCAAGTAGTTTTGTCATAGGTACTCTTTATTTGGGTCAAGTAATGCTATAGGTACATTGTCAACATAGAAAGGTCTAAAGGAAAGGTAGAGCTGCGGGTAAATATACAGATAAATCAAACTATAGGTACTGATTCTTCTTCGTCTTCGTCGAAAATTATTTCTTGTAGACAAGTCTGTCGACAGAAACTGATAATCTTCAATTATAGAATAGATACATCTTTTCAATGATTCTAGAAATGCAAACAGACTAATATCCGGCACAATTAGGGTCACCAGAATAACATCGTTAGCTCATCTTTATAGCAGCAATTTTCTATCCATCGTAGCACGGAACAAACACGCGAATACAATAAATAACCCAATAGTAACACATTGCGTGCTTACAACTAAGAAGTTATTGATGTTGCACTACAAACGAAGCAATATATTGTAAACAACGGGAGACTAGAAATTTACCGTTCTGTTCCTTCCGAGACCTTGTTTATATGCTTTAATGTAGTTGTCAAACATTTATTTTAATGAATAATTACATTATGTTTTAATATACTATTATTTAGTTTAGCGAATAGCTGATTGTTGTAAAGAAGACTCTAAAACATTTGTTTGGTGGTTTCTTGCGTCTTTTAGTTGGTGCTAGTGACGATAATAACCCAACTATTCAGTTTGGGCATTTCATTTTGCTTTAAGAAAGATTAATTTATATTTTATAGAAATAGTAACTAAATATAAATATTCCGAAGCCGCATACAAAATAAAATCACAGAAACGCATGACACAACACAATTAATATTTCAAGTTTCATCAACAAAAACTTTCTCAGGCGTGAAAATAAAAAGTTTGGAACAGTCAAGCAGGGACCGTGAAATAGGTAGATATAATATAATATGTCATGTCCGTAGTATAAATCAAGTTAATTGTATCAAGCCGTGCATCTGTACGCCTTATAAGGGACGTGTGAATTATTAGTATTACACCAACGGCCATACTGTTTCTTTCTACCGGAAGAGATTGGGAGGAAACGTGATCATTATTGTGGTAGGTTTAATTAACAAAGAAATATGGCAGCGTTAACTGACACATTTTACATAGAAGATTACAAGAAGATAGAATATGACTAATTTAAATCTGTCTGGTAGATTATTTAGAAACATTAGACACGTATTTTTATTTTTTTTACGGAATCGAATAGTTTCGAAGATACATTGATTTGAAATGTCACGTGACGTCACTTCTATATACATTTTATACGTAGAAATGACGTCGTTATATCTAATTTTCATTACCTATCTGATGAACTAATTACATTTTTTAATGTTCATTCCTTGTCATCATGTCTATTGTAGACGTATTTGTATATATTGTCGAAATATGTATGTGCTATATTATTCTCTTGTCAATATTTAATGGCATTGCATGCTTTTAGACACACTAGTTACTTTCTCTGTATCACCTAAGGGTCGGACTGGTAGAAAATGCGTGCAGCATTACGTCCACCCAGGTGCTCATATGTGTGCAGATTTTTAAATAAATAATATACTTATTAGGTTATGTATTGAGTGGAGCTATGTTTAATACATTACGTATAACCAGTGTATCATTTCTAAATACAACAGCAATCGATTAATAAATCTAATGTTTTTGCCATCCGACAGTACATAATATAGTCTTGTGAAAGTAAGAAGAACATTTTTAGTATAAATAATATTTTTTTCTACTAAAAACAATGACAAGTCTACCGCAAAAACTCATTTCCATTGGTTTTCTTTGTAGATAAAAAAGTAATAGAAAAATTTATTGTAGCTACTGCCTTTGTGACACAATTTCAATTTAAAGTTCAAAAGAATAGTTCTATAAAGGACACGGGTTCTACAATATAAAGAAAAAGAAATAGATCGGACGATACTCAGGCAGGTAGGTAAACCCTGTGTTTTGTCTTTATGTAATCGCCTTAGTAAAATCGACATTAGAAGTACTTACACAGTACGAACTAACAATAATAATCATTTTCAGTTTGATAAATTTAATTCAGAAATATTGAGCTAATTTAACAAAAACGTCATTGAAATACATATTCTATTTCTGATAGTCTTGTTCTCATCACCCTATGATACCAACATCTATGAAGTAAAAACTTTGACAAAGAAACTTATTGGAATAAACCCTTTCCAATCATCACACTGCATTTTTTGTTGACCTACGAACTATTTAATGGCGTCTCATATGGAGAATGTGGAGATACACATGTTTAGTGGCCGAGTGAGACATATAACCATGTTTCTATTATTAATGTCAATGTCAACCACAAAGTTTTTATTTGCTTCATTTGAGTTTTACTTTCTTGAAGTTAGTTGCATCTGAGATATAGTCATCAAACATATCATCTAGATAAGGTCATGACGCTCATATAGGTACAGTATACAGTTTCATAAAACTAAAATAATGCTTTTTCGTTTTGTACGAATTCATCTGAAAATCAAATCTAAGAAACTCCATAAAGTAATCTCATAGCGACTATTGAAATAACCACTCAAAAAGAAATCTAATTACTTCTCTCAGTAAAGGCAGAGTAACAAAAAAGTGGCAAAATATAATTAGACTTTGTGTACAAATAAATTAAGTCGAGTTTAAAATGTGTGTCACTGACACGGATCTGACTGACATTCGCAAAACTTAGTTTTAATGACACCTAGAATTTAACAAAGCGTGGGATGTGATAGCAACATTAATTCCGTATTTAATTTGTACAAAAAGGTGTTACATGTACAAACACAGCTCATCAAGTCGTTCCAATCTGTTAGACTTCTGCAATTGA